ATCTAATACAGACTTGGTGACAATACCTCTTCAGATCCACTGGAGAGCAATGGGAATACAAATGTACACCTGAAATAAATCCCCACAGTCAGAAACATACCCTGACCTCAAGGCTGGCAGAGTTGAGACAGGGGAAGTGCAGAACAGAGCAATGACTGTTCAGCTGCCTCGGGAACATCTGCAAAACTTGCCACTTGCCTTTGAAAAAAGTCTAGCATTCTTCAGATCTTAACCTTGATGAGAGGTCCAGCGAGTCAGCCTTTCATAGTGCAGTCATGCCCTATTCCAGCTATTACATGCCTCATTTCTGTTAATCTTCTCTAATTAGTTCTGCTTCTCAAGTGAAATCTTGGAATCTTAATGTTTTCCTGTGCTAATAGCGAGGGCTTTGCTTTCATGTTCAAGATTGGACTGCCATTTCACTCTGTAAAACTCATTTGTTCTCCCAGCACTTGCAGTTGTACTTTGAGTTTTTAGCTTAAACTCTCTCAAAGAATTTTCCTGACTTTCAAGTTATTGAAGTTGTGAACATGCCAAAAGCCAACACGTTCATGAGAGGGCAGAGGAATAGGTTCCTTTCCTCTCCTTGCAAATGTGCTGAATTTTATTTTTTCCCAAAAAGAGCACTTTCAGACTTCTCCTCATGAAGGATTTCATGTGTTTTACGAAGCATAAGCAGATTGAGTGCCACTACATGTAAACTGGCAGCATCTCAATTTTAGGAATGGAAAAGCTGAGTTACAGAAGGGCAAGGCAAATACGTCTCCTGCATTGGGACAGCTGAGTACAGTTTCCCTGTTCCATGCTCTACTAATGTAGACCTTACATTTTTCACTTCATGTTATACACACATACCTATACATACAGAGGAAGGAAGACACACTTTTCCAGATTTGTAAGGAGCCTGAGACATCCACAGCAAATATATATAAAATGATTATTTATTCATTCTTACACTTAATACAGGCAAACCTAGAGTAGATTTTCAGTTGCTAACTGGAAGGGCTTCCTTTGTACGTCACTTTATTTGATAACTTTCAGCCTTCTTCTACAAAAGGATCAACACACCCTCTGTAGTCACTAACATGCCATCCTATAGACTTTGGTCTGGGAGTATTAGACGCAGCAATTTCTAGAGGCACATGATGGCTGAGGTGTGAGCACTGGCAGGAGAAGGCATCTGAGCCTTAGGCAAGAAAAGCTCTTCTCCAGCTGTTGTTCAAGATAGCAGATTATTTTCAGGTTAAAGAAACTTGCATGGGCAAGGGGGAAAAGTCAACCTTCTGCAACACATAACTTAGACTAAAAGCAGAGTAAGCAGCTTACTTAGAGTGTTGCTTCTGTTGCTATAGTAAAATTTGTAACTCATCTCAATAAAGTCACACAAGGTTGATGTTTACAGATTTAAAGCTGTTACACATAGCAAATAGACAACACAGGAATAGCGTGACTTTAAAATAGAAAGTTTTTCCATGACTATTTTCAGTTACAAGTAAAACAAATCTAACTATTCAACCTCTTCTCTTGAAATAAAATAATAACATGTATGTGAACATGCTATTTAGGAGGTAGGAAGTACCGAGCATTTTCACCTTCAAATAGTTCACTACTAACTCTTATATCTGAAGACAACACCCAAAATATTTTGAAGGGTTTGTAGTACATTATTCCCTGGAAGCTACTTAGGAATTGTTTTTATTTTTTAAATCCCTTCAGTGGGATTTATCAGTGGGATTAAGAAATCACTAAAAGGCCTTTTTTTCCCCTCAGAACAGAAATGAGACAAAGCACAGCACACATACACACAACAAATTCACAGGCTTACTGTGAGATCAGTGCTTAACTTGGAAACTGCCCTGAAGGTGAATTGCACCTCACCCTGAAAGTCTTTTGGAATTCCTGTTCTCTGGCTTCTAATGAAGTGTGCTTGTTCCAAATCAGTGCAGCACATGCTTATATCAGAATGGCATCCTATTGATAGGGTATTAGGAATTGGAATGTAGTCTAGAAGACATGGGACAAGACATCCTTGCAAATTGTTTTTTTCAGTCTAACTGCAGGTTGTCAACCAGACACATTCATAGTACAATAATCTAGAGAGCTCCACTTGCTTTTACTCAAGGTAGCAATGGTTTTATCACCTAAGCATTTTCACTGTGGAGCACTGACAGTGCTTTCCCACCTTCAAAGCATCACCTCTATATATTTGCCTTGACACTGTCTTCACATCGTCTTGATATTGTTCTGACACTTACAAAAACTCAATCACTGTAGCCAGCTGCCAAGAGAAGCAGAGAAGCACTAAAAAGATTGTTAAAAAACTGTGAAAGACAGCAGCTTAGAGAAAACAAGACCTTGCTTTTTCAAATTCATATTCCGAGTAGGTTTTAATAAAAGCTGCTTTCTAAAAACTTCAGCCAAGTCTGGCAAAAGCCAGCTCAAAGAGTGATGGACTCTGCAGCTGAAGTTCAGGTATTCCAGTGACAGCCCTCTCAGTGCTGAGAGCTCAGGTCCTTTGAGTAGCATTGCCTGGCAAGCACAGTGTGTTGAGCACTGCAAGGTGTTGACATGAGGATCTCCCCAGAAACTAATTTGCAGCCTTTTTTTGAGACAGTCAGGAAAGAAAGATGACAGCAGAAGAGAGCCTGGAGCATTATTGCCCTTTGCTACAAATAAAGCAGAAACGCACATTGTTATTTCACAACTTACAGAAGCAGCCTAGAAAGAAAGCATCATCTAGCATTGATTTAACAAATGCTTAATATTATGGTAGCAGGATAACAACATGCATGGAGTTAGGTTCAGTAAGAGTTACATGCTGAATAATCTAGGAGAGGAGAAGAAAAGCAGTCTCTGCTTTTACTGAAACTACGTGCAAAGAAAAGAGAAAAAAAAATTGAAGGGCAGGCATACAGCAAGCCCTCCAGTGCCTCAGCATCTTTTGTACTCACAGATAAAGCCCTCAACGCTCACAGAAGGCAATGCTTAACCTACACACCTTAAAAAACAAAACAAAACAAAACAAAAAAATTGTCACTATAGCAACTCCAAATGCAGAGAACATTAACTGACTTCTGCCAGCTCACTCCAGAACCACGGCGCAGACAAGTCAGCCACCACAGGCATGTGCAAAACACTAGTGCTCCTGCAGTTGAGCTTCAGAGCAATTTGCGAACTGCTTGAGAGGTAGTAGGGACATGTTTGAGGTACCTGTGATGGGCTTTGCAGCTGAAGTTCAGGTGTTCCAGTGACAGCCCTCTCAGTGCTGAGAGCTCAGGTCCACATGTGTATTTGACAAATAAAGCTTTGCATTTCAGCCATTTGACAAAATAACTACTGATATGAATGGGAATTCTGATCAGTAGGAATCACATTATTCCCCCCTTAAAAAAAAATCTCTGCACATGTGCAAATTTGATACTAATCCAAAGTATTAATTCTTAGAAGAACAACACCTAGGTAACATAAATTTCACTTTATAAATTGATATTATACTTGCACACATTCATTTTGAACCTTACCTGAAAAATGTAGTGAAAGCATATCCAAGGCAAAGCAGAGCAGAGCTCAGCTCGCCAACGGGGCAGACTGCATCACTCTGCAGGTGATGCGCTACACTTCCTTGTGCTCAAGGAAGGACAGAGCTCTCTGTGTTCTGTTCCTCTGCATCTTGCCTTCTCACCTTAAGGGAACAAGGGAGGGAAAGCAGTCTGAAGCATCATTTCCTTTGCTGCAGAGCCCCAGGCCTTTACCAAAGAAGCACTGTGCCAGTCAGCCCAGGTGAACCAGAAGCAGCCATGTGTAGAGAATAGCACTACAACCCCTGGGACAGCAATACTGGCAGCTAGGTACTGACTTCTTACAGAGCACTGGTGCTTTACCAAAGCCTCCCAGTCTGCAGGACTAGCCTGACGATGGATGCCTAAATGATCTGATACAGGCTTAGGCTCCAGAGCTAGAAGAAAGCTCAGCCTCCACCTCATTAGCTTCCTAAAGAACCAAGGAGGAGCAAGGGACTGAAGGTGCTAATTTGTAATCTGCTGACTGCCCTGCAGCTGTCTCTGTGTAACCACCCCAACAGGAAACTGTCCTACCTTGCTTAGGAGCTAAGCTTTCTGTTTCACAGATGTAATTCATAATTGCTGTACGTGGAAAATATAGCAACTACTGCATCAAACTACAGCAGGAATATTTAATGTTGCAGGATAAGGGAAATGTTAATACAAGGTACTTGCAACAGAATTTACAGAAATAAACCTCTTCCAGTCAACAAATATAATTTATGTTGATAATAGATGACAGAAACAAATCAACACGTACTTACAGTCATACCATGCTAAGAGTAAACTAGGCGTGCATCTCTACAAGCTGATGATCATAAGTTTGTGCTCATCTGCCGCAACTGCCAGCAATTTTGTGGCAATCTGCATATGTTCAAACACAATGAGTAAAGCACAGTTCAGACAAAAACAGGGCAGAGGCAAAATTAGTCTAAATAGTTATTAGCAAGAACAATATGCTTCCATTTATCCAGAGGTAAAATTCAGCTTGAAATGCAGTTATTCACTTAGTTAAGTGAACAAGATGACTTTACTAAGCATGTATCCCATTGAGAAACATGGCACAAAGGAGACAGCTCCATGCAAACACAACAACTTTTGAACTATACGATCCATAGTCTATATGGATGGTGATGATCCAACTGCCCCTGGCAAGCTGAAGAATAAATGCTTTAGTGCTTCCTTCCTATGCTGTTCTGCTTATGAACTCCCTTGATTACTCCCTTGATTAATGGAAAGATATTTGTTACAGAGGGCTACCATCGTCCAATTAATATCAAATTGTCTTGAAAAGACACCACAGTTGACCCTCTAATTAATATATTTTATACATTTTAAATGAGACACTGTTTTAGGAGCTCAGTAACAGTGCCTTTTTCTGTTCAAGGCTATCCATAATTAATAATCTCTCTGACCAAAGGAAATGAATCCTAAGAGAAAATGGCTTTTGAGAATTCCCAGGTGCCAAGTACTGAGAATTACTTTCCAATCTGTTCTGCAGCCTCGCAGCACAGTACGCTGTATGGTGCCCTTTGGGATCATAAAGCAAGGCCTGTCATGGAGCTCTCTGCCAAAAATGCTCCCGGTGAGAGCAGATATCCAGTCACTAAATATTTATCACAATTATTGCCATCAAATCTGTCATGGTTTTTTTTTTCTGGGCAGCTCTTTTATTCTAAAGCACACCACCACATTAGGTTTGTTTAAACAATTTGCCTTTTAGTGATATTACTCCAATATGAGGGGCTTATTGCTTAGATCTCCCCACAGAAGGCTCCTGGTCATGCCCTGGCATTGATTAATCTTCTGTTTTTCCTTACCGTTACAATGCAGCAATCTTGCAAAGGTTTCAGAGAAAGACATCCCTAATTGCTGAGAGGATTTTCAATTCCTATCCTTGCTACTGCTCTGGCTCACTCTCCTTCTGTGCATGTAAACTCTGAGCCCCGGCAGTCAGATTTCCAGCAGGGAGAGTAAGCTTGGGGCCCAGCAGGCAACAAGTGGCAGAAAACATCTGCACTGTATGTTATCATGTAGAAGTCAAGCCAGGAGAACTGTCCTCTCAGTAGCGTGTCTGAAGCAGTGTGACATACACAGCCATGAACTCTGAGAACATCAGGTGACTCAGCCAGGCAGGCAAGTGCTACTGCACAGAAACAAGCCAGAGCTGATGAGAGAAGAGGCTGTAACTGGCCTGGCAGTGGCACAAGCTCATTGCACTTTGCTGTGAACATCACGACACAGAGCAGACATCACGCTCTGCTCTGAAGAAAAAGGCAGAATAATGAGCTGCACAAATAGCCATGTGATAAAGCCAGCTCTTTATCTGTATGGGATAGTAGATGTCAAGCCAGGGATTTCAGTCTAGTAAGAATTCTAATTTTCCTCGCAGCCTCCAAAGTCTCATGCATCTCTCTCTGCAGGAAAGCAGTTCCTGTTCTCCCTCAACCACAATATGAGTTTTATTTCATTTGTATCATTCATTTTTTTTTTTAATTTAGTTTGTTCACATTGCCTTTCCAACAAGTCCTACTAAGACCTGATTCTCAAGGAAGAGCCTGGCCAGAACTCTCTAGGACTGTAGTGTGAACAAGAGAGGGTGGTTGCTTTTAGAGAAAGCTGGAATAACAGCCCTACGGACTACATGGGGGTCCATGTACAGTTTTACCCTTAATCAGCAAACAGTTCTTGAAACCAGAGAGGAAACCATGGTAGTCTGCATAGCTAGACTAACCTGAACTTTCATTTCATGTAGCTCCCAGCCTTCTTAATTTCCGTTTCTGAACCTACTCTGGAATTGAAATATTTGTTCCTCATACAAAGCCATAAACCAAATTCTTCCCCAGTTACAAGTCAGAAGACTTTCAGGATGCCACAATATTGTCTGCAGCCTGTTGCTCTTGCAGGCAGAAGTGACCATGGTGCAGCACCCATGGTGGAGCTTCATCACTATGTGAAACTGTAGCATTCTCACTCACTGGAAGCCTCCTTATAGCATCCTTCTATTGGGTCTGTGACTGAGTTTTACCTGTGAGAGGTCAATGAGAGCAGCTGGTGCAGATGATGACCACATTGTTGTCCTTCACCAATCTCAGTGTTGTGGCTTCGGTTCCACCAGTTGCAGCCCTCAGCACCAGAGTTCTGCAGAAGCAGAGCAGGTGGAGACTCTGGTTGCACCCTTTACACAACTGTCTCTAGCCTGGTCAGCAGTACAGGAGTTGCCATTTTCCCCACACAGTTTCTGAATCCTTGTTGGTGATGAACTCACACAGGGAAGAAATAGCTGATTTCTGAACCAAAGGGTTCTTCAGTAAATAACAGAAAGGGCAGGAAAGTGAACTCCTCCACGCGTTCACCACTCTAAAAAAGACGGACTGATTTCCCTGTGCTCTGTATTGAAATCAGAATGCACAATACATCTAGCAAAACAATGTCAACCTACTACAGGGCTGATTGTTTTTTTCAAGTCTGGCCAGACTGGAGAAGCAGCATCATGATCTTGATACAAGACTACTGTTACATTGTATGAAACAAATTGTGTGAGAAAAGGACGATGAACACAGGGAGCTCAGAGGGACAGCACACACAGTTGGAGCTGATCTTGCTGTTCTGCTGCATTTTGCTGGCTTCAGCAAAGTTTAATTCTCAGCTGTGTTATTGAGAACCTACTGGAGGCGACCCCAGCATCCGCACACATCACTACGCAGCTTTGCACTTACAAACTTTAAATCATTTGCTTCCTTACAGACTTCAAAGCGGAGCACAGTAAGCCAGCTGGAGAAAGGAACAGATCTATGAAAGCCTTATGCTTTTTGTCATAGTTTTTGCCCCTGTTCTAGTGCATGTTAAAAAACATCATTTTCTAAATATGCATTTTGTTGCTGGAGGTTTGGCTGTGCAGAAAGGATATGGCATGTCTGATATAATGTGCCTTGATGGCATCTCCTGGTTATCAGACGCTACAAGACAAGTGCTTATGGAGACCATGTTGAACTGGGAATCATCAGCATATGCCTATGTAACACACCTGGCCACACCATCTTCCCCATGATTTATCACCATTGTATGTTTGAACAATGAGCTTATACATGTCTTCTTGAAGCCAAAATTTAACGAGGGTGTAAAGAAATGAAAATCAAAGATTCTGAATTGGTGATTAACAAAGTGAATGTAAAAATGTTACTTGCATGAAAAGAAATTTTTGTCCTTTGTTACAGATTGTTTTGATGCATTTCTTACACCAAGGGCTTTAAACATAATTTTGACTTGGAAAAAGAAATCATACCTGTGTCACTGCTACAAACATTTGCAGTCACATTTTAAAATCACAGCACCTGTATATGTTAATGTGCATCAAAATCATTGCTGTATGCATTTCTCTTATTAAAAATAAAACAAAATAAAATAAGGGGCAATGGAGTGGATAGTAGAATCAAAGGTAAAGAAGATGCCTCCTAGTGGCTTTCAAAAGCAAACACACAGGGACAGAATTTGAACCTGAAGTCAATTTTGCAGTCTGTGTTTTGCAGGGAAGCATGACCATGCTTCCTGCAGCCCCTCTGGGTTCTGGCGGCGCTGTTTCCCTGCTTAGTTTGCTCCATTCTTGCTTCCAAGGTGTATGCTTTTGCTTTTGCCTTCCTGCATCTAGTTAAAATTGTTTTAGATTTTGAGCACTCCTGATTATCTCTGTTTTTTGCCTCTGAAAAAATAATAGAAAAGCTGATCCGAAGCTGGCTGCTGGGTTCCCTCCATCATGTACTGAAGTTGTTCATCACCTGCCCACATATCCCCATGCCCTTGTATGAAGGAATCCAGCACTATTGTGTTAAGAATAAATTCTGCTACACGAATTAAACTAAAAAAAGGTTTTCATTACTTGGCCACAGACTTGAATTGCACACCCATCTTTACTCTTCTCCAGACTTAGGAGACAACGACTTGCAGATACACTTTGAAACCGTGAAAGAGGAATGTTATATTCAACAGTGTGTACAGCAGCAGAGATTGCACAGCAGCAATAAACTCAGTTTCTAATCAATGCTAACATCATTTAGGATAGAAGTGAAGAGGAGCTTTGAGAAGAAAACATTTATCTCATTTTGGAGATGATTGGTTTGCCTGTTGCTGACAACAGCTCACCAGCTGATGGGCTGCAGCCACCCCTCTCTCACACTAGTTGGACAGTGTGCCAAGCCAGTGCCTTTGAGAGAACACACCTTGCTGTGGCAGTACAGCCTGCTAGAACATACAGCAAACAGACAAGCAAGTCTGGGCTGGCACAACAAGAACAAGATGGCAAGGAAAAATGACAGCAAATGGTAGCATCCTTTGTTCCTGGGGAGCAGCACAAATCAGCAAGCATGAGCTTGCAGAAGTGATCAGCACAGAGACACTCATGTAAATAACATGCACTGTAATTTGAATCACAAATAGCTTCAATCTTAAAGTGCTTCCTAAACAACATTTTAAAATAGGCGTAAGAATAACAACTGAATAGCATTACAATATGGAATACTTCTCCTTCAGATATGTTATTAATTTACTTTTCTTGGGTTTTGGATACAAATGTATCTGAAACATTTTCAATATAAAATAGAACATTTCAATTAACTGCCCTTTTTCTTTCGTGCCTGTGTGTGGTGGCGGTTACCATGGTTATAACCATGATTCAAGATTTAAAGCCTGAAAGCGGTTTCTATAACAACATGCTAGGACATTTTGGACACACAGCTGAAGTCAGGATTAACTCTTTATGGCCACAGTGACAAGCTCCTGCTTGTTTGTTACAGGTTCCCTCCTACTTTCCCAAGGTATGCTTTCTCACTGAGCAGATGGAGCCATAATTCTAACCATGGATAGCACAGGGGAAGTCCTAGAGAGGGGCATTTCCATCCCCAATGAAGTTTGACAAGGAGAAACAGTATCACGGTATCTACAGGCTGCTCATTGCTTTCAATTATTAGGACAGCAGACAAGCATATTGGGAGATGGGCTGCATAGGGATGCAATAATGTCAGTGCAATGTTTTGGAAGTTTGAGATTTCAGTTTGTAAATCAGAACTGTGTAGAAAGAAAAAAAGTGACCTACTCACAATCTTGATGGAAATGCTATTTTGAGGGCTAAAACAGCCCCCTTACCTAGCAGTGCTTAATCCACAATGGCATGTTTTTATGTCCTTTTCTTCAATATTTGCCAAATGCTGATCCTTGAATGGCATCTCTGCTTTTCAGTCTACAATGAATGTATGTGAACCCAAACTCTTACTCTTTAGATTATGCAGATGCATTCACCTCACTGTTAGTTCTTCAAGATTTAATATATATGCATATCCACAATTTTCTAAGACTATCCTTGCAAGCAAGTTATTGTCATTGTGAACTGTATTTTCCATTTTACAGTACACTGTACATAAATGAAGATATGCTGAGTTACACCAGAGCCAAGTGCTATTCTATGCAGCACTCAATGCTTTGAGATACATTTAAATATTTCTAGTTACAAGCTAACTACTTCAACGCCACACTGAAGTTGCAGATCTTGATATTTCATCAAAAGATTAGTTTTAAAATCTCGAGGACAAATTTTAAACAAGAAAACAATACAAATATGTTCATCCAGACGTCGAACTATCTGAGCCCTTGCTACCTTCATGTTATATTCAAAACTTCGTTCTAAAAAACAGTCCTCCTCAAAGCCCAAAGCACAGTAAAAGTATTGTTGATGACTATGGACATCAAGAAGTTACCATCTCCTCATAGTATTTTTGTTTTCCTCCTTAGAAAATTGACTGCCTCTGTTAAGAAGCTCAGAAAAATCTCTGCAGCGTATGTAAAAAAGGCCCTGAAGCTGTTAGTGCTGAGAGCCTCTGTACAGCTTTAGAGTCCTCCCTTCAGGGAAGAAAAGGCACATTTGAAGAACAGCCTTGCAAATCACAAGGAGCCCCCAGGCATGATGAGATGATTAGTGATGATTAGCAAAGTGCAGGCATAACCGCACTGAAGTGAACCCAAACTCATACCAGTGTGATTGGTGGTGATTGAAATCTGATTTTAAATGACACTGCTGATTAACATGTTTCACTAACTTGTGGGAAGAGTCACCTGCAGGAAGAACAAACCTTTGCTGAAAGACATTTCTGCCAAAAACAGATCAACATAGTTTGCAAGGTTTTGTTGATGCAGACTGAATGGCTGATTGCTAATCTGATTCACAGAATAGGGAAAACTGGTGATTTACTTTAAATTGCACCAATTTAAGAAAGCAGAATATTTTGAAAAGCATGCAAGAAGATTCTAGCTTTGATTCAAACAGAACCTAGAAAAAACTCCATCCAATCCTCAGGAAAGATTTGAGATCAGGCTCCTCGGAATCACTTGCTTAACTGAAGAGCATTAGTCTCCTTAACAGGAGAGTAAGGAGCCAAATAGTTTCAGCTCTCTCACAACTCCTGCCTTACTTATTTTACCTTTCCCCCTAACTTAATTTTGCCCCACTGTGTTCATTTCCATGCAGTTCCAACATCCCAAACCACTCTGTATTACATCATAGAGTCACTGCCACAGGACGTGCTCAAGAAACATTTAGACGCTGCACTAAGGTAGATGGCTTAGTGGGTGGTAGATGGATGGTTGGACCTGATGATCTTGGAGTTCTTTTCCAACCTCGGGGATTCTATAATTCTATGATTCCTACAGTTTCTGGTGTCTAAGGAAAGAGCTGGGGAAAAAAAAAAAAAAAAACTAACAGCAAAATCATGCTTTTAAAGTACTGACTGGTATACGAAAAATTGAGATTATATTATCAAGAGCATCACTAACTTAAGTAAACTTATTCAAGAGGAAAAAGAAACTTTGTCTTTCTCAGCATTTCTTACATTTAATAACTCCAGTATTCCTAAAAGATGGAAAGTACTGACACGTTTCTGGCAGTACTGGCGGTTTCCCAGTAGATGGCAAGCTTCACTGCAAGGAATTTTACTGCCAAATGCCTCAGCTACATGAAAAGGATTTAATCAGTGAAATGCTTGGCACAAATTCCTCTAGTAATTAGATTAATGTATCAATGTTTATGAAGAGACTGATAATTAACTCAAGTGTCAGTCAACGTAAATCCAAAGTGATCAGCATTTGGTTTCTATTTTTCAGATGCAACATACAAATTTTAAGAAAGTCTGTCGGAACAAGTCACAGCCAAAGTGATCTTAATTGCATAAGAATGAAAATGACTTTTCTGCCTACCAGAGCCATCACACGTCAGGCTTTCCTGATTAACCTCGTGCAATTTTATTAAAAAACAAGCCTTTACCAAAACATTTATTTCCCTTACAATCCCTTCCACAAAAGCAGTGGAAAATATTCTTTAATTATTTGCTCAGAGTCAGACTTCACATCAGACACCATCACAGCCTGCCACATCACATCACAGAGCACAGGGGTGTTTATCTTCTTCCTCTGCTGTTTCCGTGTGGCTCTCAGTAGCACTAGGTTTCCAAATCCATCCTTCCACATCACTCCATAACAGCAAGGAAACTGAGTGTCCGCAGGGGAGATAGGGAGGTGCTCTAAACAACCTGTTTGTCACAGGGGGGAAAACAGGTGGAAAATAGATTCTTGAACTATGAATCCAAGCTTCAAGGATTTTCTGAAGCACACATGATTTAGTAACATGACTTTTGTTAAAAAATAGTAATAATCATAGGATGCCGTTGTAAACTTCATGCCACTCAGTTTGATAATTGCATAGACGTTGATGACCACCTCTACAAGATACAGATTTGTGGTAAGACTTGCAGTTCTTTCTGGTTTACTGGGGAAGTCCCTCAGGACCTTTTCTCTTTCCTTTCTAGAGTCACTTCCCATGAGAAATGATTCCAGGTGCCCACCAAACTCCTGCCAAAAGAACTCCACATGCATTACTGGTCACAGAGACGATATTTGCCGTTGTGCGGACATGTCACTTGAGGAACGCTTGGAGGAACTCTGCAATAACACCTCCAATCCTTGCTCCTCAAGCCCTTGTCTTCAAAATGCTACCTGTTCAAGTTCTGCTGGAAACCTCAATTTCACTTGCGAGTGCCCGGATGGGTACAATGGGACCACTTGTGAAATAGCCATCAGTATGTGTGACAGCAACCCCTGCGAACACGGAGGCACGTGCCTCGATGGCCTGGCCAGGCCCACCTGCCTCTGTCGCACAGGATTCACAGGTACACGCTGTGAAATGGATGTTGATGAGTGCAGCTCGGAACCCTGCCACAACGGAGCGGTGTGCAGGGATGGGATTGATGAATACTCCTGCTACTGTGTCCCAGGCTACCAAGGCAAGCACTGTGACCTGGAGGTGAATGAATGCGTGTCAGACCCATGCCTGAATGGGGCAACGTGTCTTAACCTTATAGGGAGGTATTACTGCATCTGTCCACTTGGGTACACAGGTAAGCACTGTTTTAAACAACCATTTATTTGTGTCGTGGAGAACTACCATACTCCATGTTCTAAGATCTATTCCTATACAAACGCACACAGACACACATTTAGTCATACCTATCTTACTGCATGGCCTTCAGCCTCAGCACCAGCGGCTGCATCTTACAGGCTACACCTTATCATAGTTGACTAGTGATACTGCATAAAGAAATTTCACATCTTCTACAAGCTACAGAGCACTCTAACAAACATAAAACTGTGTCACAGCCCCAGTGAACTTTTGTTTTAACAGAAATATTCTCAAAATACAAGTCCTTTTTCATCCACAAACAAAACTTATGTTCGACAGTGATAAAACTAGACTTAATTAGACTTGGTTGATTTGCTAATTACAACAAAGAGTATTCTTAAAATTAGGCATTTGCTTTGTGGGAGCCTTTTAAAACATTCTTCTTTCATTTTCCCCTGTTTTCTGAACAAAGGTATCTTTTTCAGCAACTTTCAAAAACATCCAATTCAGACTTTCTTTCTCTTCTAATGGATTTCCCTTTTCCACCCTCGCTAACAGGCCTCTTTCTCTTCTTCTATTTTACTGGACCTCAAGGCCAAATAGATTATTCTATCACTTTCCCTCAACATCAATGCTCAGAATGGCTATGCCTTTCTGGTTTCATTCTGGTAAGTTTTCCTAAGCTATATGTCCTACTGATGTCACATATTATAACTCAAATTTTCCCCTTCTATTATTTTTTGATTTAGTCTGGCTGAATCCACAGATAGACTTCTTTTCTTTTTGCCAGAGGAAAAGTTTCCAAAACTCATTTCAGGCTTCTTTTCTGAGGAGGAAAGCAGCAATATTGCAGTGAGTTCCAGGCATTCAAAAAAAAGTATTCCTTCCTCTATAGAGTACATCTGCTGACAACTTCACTTGACATAGAAAATTGCAGCTGGACATTCTAGAAGAATGGACATTTGTCAAGAAGGAAGTTTATCAGTTTGAATCAAGAAACAATTATCCTTAGACACAATTCTTACTGTTCAGATTTTTAGCAGTTCGAAGTTGATGAAATTTTACATGGCCATATAGTGGCCTTCCCAGTTGAATGAGAAAGCTTGGTATCAATGTGAGCTATGAGCAATGCCGAAAGACAGGCAGACAGAAAGGCAGACAGAAAGACAGGCAGAATACAAAAGCCTAGAAAGATTTGCAGGATCAGAAATGGGCAAGAAAGTGAGGACTAGGATAAAAATGTCCTGCTGACAGAGAAAAATAGATATTTTACAGCCAAATTTTAGCTTTCCAAACAGAATCAGGAAAATCAAAAAAGTGCCACTACATCTGCAACAGCCATCCCTCCCCGTGCCCATAAGTCATACATATCCTGAACTCACCACTTACCTTATATAGACTTAACCTTGACTAATTGTATTGACTTTCTCGCCCCTGCCTTACCAGAAACAGAGGATTCATGTGGAACTACAACATCACAGAAGTTTACACAGAAGAAGAAGTGTGACTAGGTTCCCAAACCTGGTGTGATCAGGTTTGGGAGAAATTCCCATTTTATCTGGTCCCATTTTTAAGGTTTCGGTGTGATTTTTCTTGCCTACTTCCTCTACTGGAGAGCACAAAATAGCTGCAGGGGGCTGTTCCCTTCAAATTTCAAAGATGAATTCACAGATAGGATAGCAAGAGAGTGCACAGTGAATCATTAAAGAGCAAAAAGGGGATGTGTTTTAGCAATAGATTGCCAACTAGGTAAACAAAGAAAAAAAGAATCACACAGCAAAAGAAAGGGAAAAAGAATAGCTCTTGCTTCAAGTGATTCAAATGAATAAGAAATAAGAGATGCGGTTTACAGCTCCATCCCAAAATCCCCATGCAGGAAGGGAAGTCAGAGGTAAAAAGCAGCTTTCCAGCTCTGACGCAGCTCTTGTTGGAAGCCGACCCTCAGTTAGCATCCCTCGTGAGCAGGGTGAATGTTGTTTGAAGGAAGCTTGTTACCTTCCTGCCACCCTGCTGCTACCAGCGGGTGTCCGAGCCCGGGCCAGGCGAGGGGAAAACTGCATAACCAGGGGAAAGCAGGAGGAAGGAGAAGCCTATTAACAATCAGCATGGCTACTCTGCAATGATTAGACTCAGCCCAGACCTCCTGTGGTATTCAGGAAACTGTATTTGTTTAACCTGTGCTGTCAGTGAGGCCCAGGCCTGGATTCGTAGACCAAGAACTCAGCTTGAGAGACAGAATCTATACCTTAGAGACAGAGGGAGAAAACATAATAAAATAATAAAAGCCCAGACAGAGAAGTAAAGATTTAGACCAAAATAAACTGCTGGAGGGAGCTCATCCTGCTGGAGTTGCCCTGCTTTCATCAGAAAATTCTGCAGGTTTCCAGGTGGATGCTGTTAGGTCTTGCCAAAAACAAGCAGAGTCACTGAGTGCAGAGCACTCAGAATAAGCAGAGTTAGGAGATTAGAGAGCCAAGGAAGGAAAAGATGTCTAAAACACAAAGGAGAAGGAGCTGCAGTGCTTTGACACATGGCTCTGACATCCCTCTCAGCAGCTCAGAGATGAATCACCACTGCTCCATACAGAAGTGGCAGGCTGCTCCTTTAGCAGTAAAACAGCAGCTTTTAAAGGCTACTTAACCAAATGATTTATCAGAAGCACTCTTTTTTGTTGTTTTCTGCACCTTGCTGTGAGTTGTGCTAAATGCACAAGCCAGGGGGATTATTGGATGAAAGCCCCGAGGTGTCCCCACTGGTAATAAAAACCCTCATTTACTCCACCGGGGGATCTTGCCAACCATTAGTATCCCAGTCTGACACCATGAATTACTGCGGGAAGTCATCCAGCCTCATCTCATTTCCCTAAGATGTTAAAAAGGTGATATCTCCTGATATGGAGGTAGAGAATGCACAGTAAATTCTACAGCAGTAATGTTAACCAAATGCCTGAGTTACAGGCTGCAGTTGCTACTTGCTTCGTGGACTACGACTGGAATTCTGCACAATTGCTATGCTGCAGCACTTCCTAAAATAGCTGAGAAATGTCACACATAATTCTTACACAAATGGAAGAGGTTAGAACGCACCAAGAGCCCAAGACTGGAAAATTTAGCATGAAATCTGGAGTTTCTATGATAATGTTCTACATGTGTGAAATTATTTACAAGACATGTGTCATGCAGCTGTTAAATAATGAAGCCCAATTGCCTCGTCGAAGTTTTGCTGGCTACCTTAATCAAATGCCTCTTTCCCTCCATTGGCCTAATTACACTTGCTTTAATTCACCCCAGCAGAGCCGGGCGATGGCGCCTCTTGGCTGCCCACAGCCGGGGATGCTAATTACCAAGCTGCACTCCGCTTGAGGAAGCCAGTCCTCTCAAATGCTTTGCTGCGAACTACCCAGGACCTCTGACTGCTCCAAAAACCAGCCCGAGCCCAAGACAGTCCCCTTTAGCATAGGGAATGTGCTTCAGGGTCAGACGAGATAGGTGCAACAGACTACATCCATTCTTCGTGCAAGAACTTTTACTATGACGCAACTGAAACAGACTCTGTACAATACGAGGAAATTATTAACTGATGAATCCTAGTTCTCACTCAGTATTCTTAGCAGTAAATATGCACCATGCAAATATTTACACCAGATGCACTGTATGCCTTAGGCACTAAAAGAAACACTCCCAAAGCCTTTAGGCACCCAGTTGTCAGACTACCAGCATGGAACATCTATCCCACAAGCTGGTTGTTGGTACAAATCATCACACTGCTATTCAAACCGGTGCCATGCCAAAAAACATAGGAAAACTGCTAAGTGGCAAAAAAATCTTGTTGAATCAAACTGCCACTGCTGCTGTCCTTGTGCCTGCCTGCGCTCAGCCTCGTTGTGCCGAAACATCACTTCACACCTCACCCCATAAAACCAAACATTTCCTTCCAAGTAGGGATTCTTCTATGAGTTCTGCTGAAGGGAAGGTGCAAGCTCTTTGCCTGCTCTTTTAAATCTAGTGATTAGGAAAAACAGGAAGGCTATCTAACACACCCCATCTGGGTGGTGGGACACAACCTCACTCCATACAGATAGAAGAATTCTAGGAAGCCCTCCCCTTCCCAGGTGCCTGAGCTCCACAATGCAGTGCAGCAGGGGAGAGGGCCTGGAGTCCTCCCTTTGGTCTGCACAGGGCCCACACATTCTTCTGTCCAACCCTGCCCACAGGCAGTGAGTTGGAAATAGGGGCCACACGCCTTTCACCTTCACCTGCTTTTTTTTTTTTTTATTATCAAAGAAGAGCATTGCAGGACTTAGCTAGAAAGCAAGCAGTATAAAGTAACTGAAGAAACCACAAAATTTATAAACATCACTTATATCCATCTTCCCAATCCCAAGCACTGGTGTGGCTAGGTACACATGGCACTGCCACCCCTCCCTAACTCCTGGCCCTGTGGAGTGGCCAAGGAGTGCCTGGCACTGCCCTCCTTTCCTGCCTTCTGGCACATGATGTTTGGCATTCAGCATATTCATGACAAAACATGAGACTGAGGTGCAAACGCAGATCCAATCTTTTCATCTCTCTTCCTCGCATCTGAGAAAATCTGACAGCAGATTTGCCTGGGCTGGGAAGGAATCCCCATTCGTGCGGCACATCACATCGGCTGGGCACATCAGGGAGGGAAGTTTTCTTCTGAGGCAGCATTGCCGAAGGCAGGTTGCTGGGCTGATAGATTAAAAGACGTGAAGCACAAAACAGCGTTGAGCTCTCCTGCTAATCGCCACGGTCTGAAAGCCGGCCGGGCCTCGGCTCCGCTGAGCGGGGCTTGTTTTGTCACATGGCTCGCAGTGCTTGCTGTGAGCTGTTAACATGCTCTGGCAGATTTACGGTCACTAGACACACTTCTGCAAACACATTGCTTACAATTACAGTGGATTTACAGGGCAATGACTGCAGAGGGATCGCTCACTATGTCTGGATGCGATGCGCATTACCATATATCCACACAGGATCACTGCGGTGCTCCCACTGGCAGCCAAATCCCCAAGGCACAGGCTGGGGGTACAGACTGGGAACATAAAATTGTGCTTTGTAACTACCAGGAAGATTTTAAAAAGTGCATGTATTTGGATGAGAATTAAGTTTAAACGCAGTGAAAATAGTTATGAGCTAACACCTTCCCAATTTGTCTTGATATTTTAAGATACTTTCAGATATTTATCCATTCTATGGATTTTTATTCTTTTTTAGATGAGCATGCTACATTCAGAGGGACAAAATAAATCAGATATCAAGAAACAGTGCTAAATAACAGTAATATCAGTGTTTTCAGAAGAAACAAAAAGTTCCTAGTTAAACGTACTAATTTCAGAACCGTACAGGAAAAGCAGCATCAGGAAAGAGCTAAAGATGAGCTCTTAAATGAACTGCTAAGATAGTCTCAATAAACAACCTGTGTTCATTGCATCTTTTGGAAGCCTGCCCTTCATTTGAGAGGGATGAAGTTCCAGCCCCCAGAAAGGGCCCAAAGTCCCTGCAGTTTCTCCCCTGCTGAACATTCCCTCCCAGTCAGGAAATGCCCTTGAGAACTGTTCACAATATTGCTCCTCCTTTGCTGCTGAAGGACAGACAGGCAGGTCAGCTTAAAAGCAGCTTTTTCACTACGATGTGCCAATGTATTTTGAGGTTGATATGGATGCTAAAATAAGCTGACTTGGCAGGTGGAAGTTATTAAAATAAAAATCATTTCTTTTTACCCAAAGCATGAAATAAGTAGATAAACATGCAGAATGCTGGAATGACCGAAGTGGGAAATGCAGGACATTAACAGTCCTTTTTTTTTTTTTTTTTTTTTTTAATCTCCTGAACTATAGTAGAGATAAGGAAAAGGAGCATGCATGTAACCTGCCAGCAGTCATCAAGAGCTGTGAACTGCCATTAGCACTGCTGCGTTCTCATTGGTTATCTCCGCAGAGGAGCTCCAGGACCACAGCCTTCCCAGCACCCAAAGCTGGGCTGTTTGCACCTTACTATGAGGAGAAAACACACACTAAGCATCAAAGCACAGCTGACCAGTCAGTAATCTTGGGTTCAGCTACTGGTGCAGCTTTGATGATATTAAGTTGCTAATCACATAAATATGATAGTAGCATAGTAGGTTTGAATGAGCAAAAATTTGTTTAACTTGTTTCTGTGTTTGTGCTAACGATAAAAGGCCTGCTTTTGGGAATTATCACAGAATCACAGAATGGCCAGTGTTGAAAGGGATGTCAAGGATTATGAATCTCCAACCCCTCTGCTACATGCAGGGCCACCAACCTCTACATTTAATACCAGGCTGCCCAGGGCCCCATCCAATCTGGCCTTGAACACCTCTAGGGATGGGGCATCCGCAACCTCTCTGGGCAGCCTGTTTCAGCACCTCACCACTCTCAGAGTAAAGAACTTCCCCCTGACATCCAACCCAAATCTTTCCTCCCTCAACTTAAAGCCATTTCCCCTTGTCCCGTTGTTATCTAGCCTTTCAAAGAGTTGACTCCCTTCCTGTTTGTAGGCTCCCTTTAGGTACTAGAAAGCTGCAATCAGGTCACCCTGCAGCGTTTTTTTCTCCAGACTGAACAAGGCAGCTCCTTCAGCCTGTCTTCGTAAGGGAGGTGCTCCAGAGGCTCTCCTTTGGACCCTCTCCAACAGCTCCTTGTACTGGGGGTTCCAGACCTGGATGCAGTACTTCAGATGGGGCCTCACAAGAGCAGAGTAGAGGTGGACATACACCTCCCTGTATTTGCTGGCCTACCCTCTTCTGATGGAGCCCAGGATACCATTCGCTTTCCAAGCTAATTTCAGGTTTTGGTGAATTCCCTCAAGCCTTGCAAAAACAAAAACAAAACGCCGCACACTAAAACACTTCCACGTGAAAACTGCCGTTTCTTGGGAGAAATGACCAACCAACCACACACCAAAACAACAAACCAGCACGTGAGCCTCGCGCTAACCCTGCTCCCGCCCTCTCCCCGCAGGCGCCAACTGCGAGCTGGATGTGGACGAGTGCCAGTCGCTGCCGTGCCAGAACGGCGCCACCTGCCGCGACGCTCCGGCCGCCTTCTCCTGCTCGTGCCCGCCCGGTTTCCGCGGCGCCCTCTGCCAGACGGACGTGGACGAGTGCGCCAGCAGCCCCTGCCTGCACGGAGCGCGCTGCGCCGACCTGCCCGGGGGGTGCGCGTGGGGACGCGCAGAGAGCGGGGGGGGGGAGCGGGGTGGGTCAGGGGAGGTGACCGCGCAGCCCTTTGCTCACTGTCCCCTCCCCTCGCTGGCAGGGCGGCAAGAAGTTAAAATGCCCTTGGCTCTGCGCGGCACTGCTCAGCGACAACTAAGGCATCTGCGCGTTACCAACAGTGCTGCTGTCCTACAGCCGCAACACAGCGTCGTGCCAGGCACTGTGAAGAAAAAAAAAAAAAAAAAAAATATCAATGATCTCCCAGCTGAAACCAGGACAAAATGGAATCTGCGAACAGCAGATAAGCAGACACATTGGAGAAGAGGCAAACTGATCAGAGTAGCCACAGCAATAGGCTCCATTAGCCCACCTGTCTGATACTTAACAGGCATGTAGAGCAACAGCTTCTGACGCAAAACTACCTGCAGTCAATTCACAAAAGTGTAGTAAATGAAGAGAATTCAGGGCAAGGAAGCTGCTTCACCCAACGTGACCAGAAGTTCACCCTGCACAGAAGTTCAGCACAGCCCAGGCAGCCGGAGCTCTGGTTTGCCTGTGTTCACTGGGATCAGCATATGATTTTTAAAGTCTGAAAATGTAATGATGTGAATCAGAAAAATAATTTTCATATTGATACATTTTATATCTTAGATCCGAATGCTACCTGGACTGCGTCACCTCTAAATTTAAGCACAATCCACACACAAGTGACACGCTGCCCTGCTATATGTTTTCGCCTACTTACACTTAAACAGGACACTGACAAGTTTGTACTTGACTGCCAGACCCAGGGGCCAGCAGATCCCAGGCACTCCATCAAATCCAGCATGCAGCTCCCTTGATGCATTTACTGCAGGTCTGAGATTTAGGTACTAAACACAGAAATTACCAAAGAAGTATACCCTTGCCTGTTGCTCAGGAAGATTCCCCATGATTTCAGATGCACAATTTCTAGTATTTGTATATATTACCCAGTTTGTTCATGTCTAAACCCATAGCAACAGCGTTGCTATCAAAAAGAAGCTAACATTACTGTTACTACTGGAACTACACCAGTAATTGACACTTCTGTATTAAAACCTAAGAAAAGCATGTGAGCTCTGGGCATGTTTGGGAACAGAGACTGGGCTCCTGCAGTGACTGCCTTTTCCTGTGTACAGGTACAGCTGCAACTGCACTGGCACCGGGTTCATGGGCCTGCACTGTGAGACCCATGTACCCCCGTGCTGGTCACAGCCGTGCTACAACAATGCCACATGTGAGGACAGTGCTGATGGAGTCATCTGTCACTGCTGGCCAGGTAAGCCCCAGGTTCTCCTGTAACACCCCCTTATCCCTCTCAGTTAGAAAAGTTCACCTTTTTTGCAGATATAAAGCGTGAAGCCACATGGCCATAAAAGCCATCCACGAGCTCAGTGCCCGCTGGGCTCCGTTCCTCACCGCGAGCCTGGGGGAGGTGCTTGCCCTGCCTAGAGCTGTGGTGCTGGAACAGGCTGCCCGGTGAGGTGGTGGGGTCATTGTCCCTTTAGGCGTTCAAGAACCGAGGAGAAGTGGCACTGAGGGACCTGACCGGTGGGTCTTTTCCTTCTCTGCTCGCCTTTGCAGGCTACACCGGCTCCCACTGCGAGACCGACATCAGCGAGTGCAGCAGCGCGCCGTGCACCTCGGGCCGCTGCCTGGAGCGCTCCTGGGCGGCCCGCTACGGCCACGACCCCGAGCTGCCGCCGCCCTTCCGCCACGACCGCGCCGAGGGCTACGTGTGCGTCTGCCCGCCGGGCGTCCGCGGTGAGCGCTGCGAGATGGGGAGCCGGGGCGGGAGGTGCGGGACGCGTGTCCGGGCGGCGCGGGGGTCCCTCTGGCGGCCGTTCCGTGGGGCTGTGGGACTGTTGTTGGTAACCACGTTTGGGTTAAAACATGAATTTCTGTTAGCGGCACAAGTTTGAAACTCAGTGTGCACGGTTGCTGTGTTGTACGCGTGAAAAAAATAAAACAAAAAAAAAAAACAACACAGAAACAAGCAATAACCAGAGAACATTTACCGAGTGGTGGTGCCCGGGACCCAGTGTTCTCATCCCTGCACTCCTCCCAACACTCTACAGAGATGCACTGGGACTGCAAGGAACATTTCTCCCTGGGAGCATAACACCCAGTTTCTTATAAACGCAGCCTGTTATGTGGTGATATGCTACAGCTGATATTAAAAATAAATGGTGCATACAGCCATGCTCCTAAGAAGAGAGACTCAATCCTACAAATGATGACTTGCTGAGGTTTGTGTCTAACACAGCTGTACTGTTCAGCACAGCCACTAACACGCTGGCTTTGAGTTGTGCAACTCTGGGCCTAAAGTCTGCTTCTGCCTTTCCGTGCCCTTACTCTAAACAGAAAACATCTGTAGCTAAACTCATGGAACCAGGCTTCCCTTCCTCATTCACTGCCTGCGCAGTTCCCAACCCCTCTGCGTCCCGCTGGCTCGCATCGCTGATCGCTGCAGCTCAGCAGACACAGCAGCAGACGAAGAATACAACTCGCATTCGGAAATCCCAACGGCTTTCTCTCCGGAGAGGCAGCGGAGCTCTTGGCTCCGTTCCGCACCCCCAAGCTGTCCTTCCCCGTCCCGTCACTGCGCGCTGCTGTTGCACCGCTGTTCTGCAGCGCAGTGCGGCGCTCCCAGCCGTGCCGGTTACAGCCGTTACCTCTCCGCGCTCCCCTTTCGACGCTGCTTCGTGCTCTCTGCTTCCTTCCAGCGACGTCCAGCTGCCGGGCTTCTTTTGCTCCCTCTCCTGCTCTTTAACATTTCCCCTGCTCTGTGAGACAGCTGGGGAGGTGGGCCCTTCGTTAGGCTTAGTCCTTTATCCTCCCACGGCCCCATCTATTGCCCTCACCTGCATCGTTCTGGTCTGGTTAGGGTTCCACTGCTTTCAGTCACGCTAGGGACTCTCTCGCTCCCCAGGAGTCAATGGACCCACGTGCAGGCAGGCTCTGATCAGTCTGAAAGACAAAGAAGTGTCAGAATCTATTAAATCTATCAGTCTTAAATCCATTTTGTCAATAGCTAACCTTCTAAATCAAGCTGCAAAGCTCTTTGGAGATAGCATTGCTCCAAGTCTTGAGGACTCTGACACTCCTGCTAATGCTTCGTGCAAATGATTTCACCTGAAGCCTTTGTGTAAGTTCAGTTATTGACATCCTTGTTGGATGCTCAGTGTACACTTAATTAGGAAAAACAAACAAACACAAAACAAAAACCCCAAAATAATTATTCTTAGCAAACAGTGCACTCAGACAGCTAAGGTCAGGAGCAGCCTTTAATAGAGGTGGCTCTAAAAGCTGCTGGTGAAATGCCTTTCATCACCTGGCTGCAAACTGATGTCAGGACAAGGGTAATGTGCTAGTGGTCAGCTCACTCGCTGCCTGCATGCATCTGTATGGGTTAGATTTTAAACTGTTTTCTTCCTAACCTCTGTGAAGTATGAGGCACTCAGGTAACAGATATCTGTAGAGAAAACAGCAGCATTGCTCTAGTAGGTGGTGAGCATGCTTGGCACCCTGGGCTATGCAGCTGGACATGACCTGGCTGCTGAAGCTGTGGCTTGAACTTGTGGGTATCCATGAAGTGGTCACATAGGTGGACTAGTCAGTCTTTGTATGTCCCTTCCAATTTAACTCTTCTATTTCTAAGCAAAGAGCCTGTAAGATGGAATGGAAACTTCACTTCTGATGCTGAAAAGTTCACTTTCTCCAATTATAGCCAAATTTGTGATAAATTAAGCACATTCTAATGGGAGTTAAGGAATACAAAGGACTGGAGTTGACTGCAGGAGTATGGCAGTAGTATGATTCTGGGTAGCAGATGAATCCCCGATCAGGATTACTGGGTTTATGGGTGCTTATCTCGTGTATACGAACTAAGCCAACTGCCCTTCTGCAAGGCAAAAAGTCAGATCCTTTCACCTGGGTATCAGCACATCTCATCGATGCCAAAGTCTTGCATTTCTGCAGCCGAGGGCCAGTTCTTCTGGCCTCCACATCTGAACATCCGTATGTGTTTTAGGTGTAAAACTTCAGGTTCCTGCTGAAACAAAGATTTTCTTTAGTATATGGCATTCAATATTTTATTATGCTTCCTTCCTCAGTAAAGCATTAACAGAAGATTTTGAGCATACTATGCTGCTCTGAGTATTGTGATGAAATAATAATCCATGCGGTCTGTGTCATGAGGGCCATATCCAGAAGTCGCTGAAATCAGTGGAAAGGTGTCATCACATCTGGGGATGTTTGTCGATTTTTGTAACGAGTATAAGATGGCACCGTTGTCTTACTGGATAAGATGGCACATTACTGTAAGTCAGTTGAAAAACTGGGCTGCAGTCTTCAGCCCCAAGGGCAGGAGATAATGGAGCCTATGTCAGGGATAAAGTATTGCCCCACCCAGCTGGGAGAGGGGAAGAAATACCGTCTGCTATTTCTTGTTGCAGATGGTGATTATTCAGCTGAACTGAAAAATAATCAGTAGACTACTAGAAGTCCTGAGAGGATCAAACCTGCCCCATTTGGTAACTCAAATAACCCATTTGCAACCAGACTTATTCATGCAATTTGATTCTAAGGAACAAAAATCCCGGTGTGGCAAAATTTTCCCAGCCTGTGATTTTTGGAGCCCATTAGATATTTGCCTTGTCCCACATCAAAGACAGAAAATTTGCGAGCAGGTTCTACAAAGGGTTAAAGTTCTCCAGCTCCCTTCTAAGTCAGAGAGTCTGGGGACGCTCGGATTTCAAGAGGTCTCAGTACTCTGCAATAGTAAGCCCAACATTTTTGATATTACCTTGGTCTGCTGGCCCCCTAGCACAGAAGCACTTTTAATAGACTGGGCTTTCATTTAAAAGTCTTGTGATTTGTTACTGCTGGCTACAGGCAGCAGTTATCCTGGAACTTCATCCTTTCATATTGTGCATATATTGTATTGCTCTGGCATCACACTTTTTAAAAAGAGTGTTATTTGAAAGGTCCAGCTTCTCACTTTCCTCATGAAAACATGTGGGAAAGGAGGAGAGCAGAGCTATGAATTTGGTAGTGATGCATTTCACCAGGTTGTAATAAACTTAACACCGTGTCAGAATTAAGGAGTCTTGAACCTGCAGGCTCTGTCAAATGTCACATTCCAGCACTGACTGGAACCTGAGGAGGGAGAGGAAGTAGCATGGGCTGCCAGGGGACGTGCCACCAGCAGGGATAGAGCTGCCTATGTGGCTGTGGGCTGCCAGGGGACGTGCCACCAGCAGGGATGGGGCTGTTCATGCAGCTGAAGTAGCAGTGTGAAGGAGCAAAGCCACCAACCAGTCTGTAGGCAGAGTGCCTACTGCCTGCTGACATGCAGAAATGTGCTGGCTGACGAGGTTCTGATCACTTCTGGTGTGTTGTTATCCACTGTGGGCCAGCTGTGCCAGCAGCACTGCTGCTCACTTTGGCATCGTGAGATCCTAAGTGGGTTTTTTTGGCCTTTTTATTTGTCGTGTTTTCTGTTTTTCCCTTGTAAATCTCCTTGGCCCTTTTCCCAGCATTTTGGACTGCTGCAAGAGAAAATGATACGATCAGACTGGAGTCATATGTGTGTTGAATTTCTGGCATAGATGTGGGGGAAAGAAACTGTCTCCTGGAGCCTGAAGATGAGGCAGATAAATAGCCAGCCAGTGCAGTGCAGCCAGAATATTGAACACTCAACTAACTAAAGAAAACCTCAACCTGAACACATGGGACTGGTCTTAAAAATGGTTCATTTAAACTCTCAGTTTGCACAGCCAGGGTGTAAGAAGCACAGGCATACACAGAGCATTAGGCTTCCATTTCCCTGCACATCTTCAGATGCTGCTGCGGGCAGGGCACTCAGCAGGTAATAGGGCTGTCTGTGTCTCAGCCAGACATACTTCTCTAGCCTCCTTTCTATGTGTGACAGTATTACACAAAATATAAATGATGTGAGTCTTCCAAAAAGGAAATCAAGCAGATAAATAGCTGTGTTCTCATCTTGTCCCCAAACTCCAGTGTTTTTCTCTATTTCCTCATCTATCCTTCAGCTGTTCACACCACAGCAGTCAAGCCTTCCTCCATCACAGCAGGTTAATTAACTGTGTTTCATGGGCCATCATCACAGTTTAAAAGGTTATTTTCTCTTTATTCTGGAGACAGAAGACAAGACTATTCAAGGGGCATTCACCAGCTTTCTTTTTCTATGTCCAAGGAAAGGATCAGGAGAAAAAAGAAAATACAAAGAAAAAATGAGACTCTTTTTTCACTGCAAGGAGACAAAAGAAGAGAGAAGCTGGGCTGGCTTGAACTGGAAGGCTTTTTCTTCTCCCTTCCCAATCCTCCTTTGTGAAAATAATCTTTAGGATCCCTCCTAATGCAAAATTCTTCAAGGTCCTAGGGCAAAGGAGACGTCCTTCCTGATTACTGCAGTTCTTTGTCTCTGACAGAGCTTTTCCACTGATCAGGAAGGAAAGCTGTGGGCTGCACCTTCTCCCAGTCTTTTGTGGGCCAAAAATGGATAAAAGCAGTTACGCAAACCTGTTGGCACTACAGCAGGTTAGGTCAGATTCCTTCCTGTGCTGTGGTCAGTGCGCTTGGTCACATCAGCTTTGCTTTATGCCTTGTCAAACAAAGAAATGGTCCTGGAGACCGAGGTGGCACTTTTCTGATGTGTCTCAGAATGGCTTGGCAGTGGGGTTGGCAAAGCAGAAAGTCAGCTGGAAGTGCTGATGGAGATGATGGCTGTGCATGCAGGT